CCCCCCGGAACCCCCAAGCCAGCCCGGCGTCACAGCGCATTGCGCTCGGTCCCCCTCCCCTCCGTGCGCGCACACCAGTCAGTCACCAAGTTCACGCACAAAGCGGCGGGGACTCGGGGGGCACAACTTCAGCCGAGAGGAGGGAGGGAGGGGGGCGAAGACAATGCACCTCGCGCGAGGCCTCGCCCCCGGCCACCCCCACCCCCGAAAACAGGGTTGCTCCCTCGGGGTTCCGGACCCGGCCGACGGATCTAAGCCCTACGGCGGTAACGAAGCAAATGGCAATTCGGACCTAGATCCGCGAAGGAGCCCTGCCAGACCCTGCCTCGGCCAGACTTCCTTTCTGCAAATAAAAGAGGCTGAGTGCGCGGCCGCGGCTCTACAGGAGAAAGGCAAGGCAATAAAGGTCCCCACCACCGTGCCCCAGACAAGGTCGAACCGGCCCAAACGAAAGCACACGCCGTTTGGGCGCGTGACGGCTTTCCGAATAAAAGCTGGTTTTCAGCCAAAGCGCTGGCTGTCCGAATGACTATTTTATCTGTGCGGCCCTTTTCCATCAGGACCTCTCATAAGGACGACACACCATGGAAATATCCTTGAAAAATACTGGGTTGTTTACAGCCACGGTTCAGCGAACAAATCCCCACTGTATAGGGGCGTATATGCTAAGCCGCAAATCATGTTTTGCAAGGCACGACGGCTGGGACCGCACTACGCGCTAAAGCCCAACGCAAACAATTCACATTTTGGCTTGAAGTATTGTGCAAACCGATCGACTGATCTCCGCAGGCGAATTTGCCACGCCCCCGCCGGAAGCAGCTTTAGAGATGTTGCATCTCGCTTCTCCCATAACCATTGGACACCAAGCACTCCTGATTGCACAGAAATTATTTGGGGATAAGCGGCGCTAGAGAACTTCTGAAACATCGAAAACGTGGATCTGCCCTTTGAAAAGCCAATTCACCAACACCTTGCCTTGAAAACTGCAAGGACTCGTCCAAGCAGTCACTGCAGAGTCGGTAACGACTGAGCGCAGATTTAAAAAAAAAAAAAAAATGCTCCATGCAGCAAATCCGGACACAGCTACCAAAAACCACGCCTAAAGTAAGACCAAGATAAATTTAATCCCACAGTATACAGCTACTGAGTAGCCCTTCGTGGACTCGAGACAAGTGGATAGGTTTTATTTTGTGGCTTCAGGTTTGCACTGTGTGGGCGTGACTTCAGCCTAAGACCGCGAACTTTTTTTGCTGTTAAAATTTCTCCGCGATTTTGCAGAGAAAAGGTCGTGGAGTGGCCTTTACGTGTTAACTATGCCCTTCGTGACGTGACGTTTTAATTATGCCCTCAAACATGCCCAAATTAATCCACTTCTCACTGAATCGGCGTACCCTGCCGTAACATTGCAATCTACATACTGCTGAGTAATCATCATTGAACTCAGTGGGGCTGACTCCTGAGCAAACACAAGATTTCAAAGCAAGTTTCTTTCTCGCCCCCAGCCCCCGCAATTCTTTTCAGGGTGTTCTGTAAAGCGAGAGAGGGGAGATACAGACCATCCCATCCGAGAATGCATACAGTACTGTGCCGACCACCTCGAATCCAGGATGACTCCAGGCGACTGTATGGAAACGGGCATAGAGTTTTCTCGGCGTGTTGTAACATCGCTTGCAGCAGCCGACACGCAAAGGCACGCGTTACACACGTGAAATGCACACTCCACAGAAGACGCTTCATACCTTTTCCATACTGCAGCCAGAATATAATTGGTGCCGAGGCCAGTGCTACGATTACATAAGCGCCCCTTCCCCAAATCATCCTGCGGAGAAAAGCGCGAGCTGGACAGGGCCCTCCTCGGCTACCCTGCGCCCCCGCCAATCGGCTGGCTCTGCGCTCCGCGCCTTCTTACCTCGCCACCAAGCGGGGCTCGCACCACCTCCCGCCAAGCGCACAAGCCAGCGGCTGACACACACCATCGGCGCCGCTTCCGGGTCCTCAGCACAGCCGCGGCGGTGAGGACGCGCAGGCCACCCTCTCCCCGCCCTCTCCTTCCGCACGAGCGCCTCCCAAGGAAAAGCCAATCGGAGTTCCTTTTCTCCACTGATTGACGTCTCCAGAAAGTTGATGGGTAAGGCAAGGCGGCCGTAGGGGCAGGGGTTTTTAGATCCGGGCCAGGGCGTTTGTTTTAAGAAGATACGGCGTTAAAAAAAAGAAAGTGCATTGATTCGGATAGGAATTGGCTCGAGCAGTAGATGCTCTGCCCTCCCCTTTTTTAAAAGGGAAGGAATCCAAAATGGATCACCTATAATGCTGTTTTAATTCTCCAAACTCTTAATATTTTTTTAAAAACATATTAGGTAATTTTTGTTCATAAAGAATTGAGCTTTTATACGTTCACGAATGCTAACTCCATTTCTTTTGGGTTTCAATGGCATGTGTTTCCAATTAATTTAGCTTGCAGTTGCAATCTTGCCTTGAGTCAGAATTTAGCTCCAGTACAGGAATAACTGGTTTATAATGATAGAGTTATGAACTATAATATCCTTATAATAAATACTTTAATCATGTGACTGTCCTATATTGTAATTAAATTACTAGGTTCACATACACACAACTACACCTGTCCACCATGGTTTGATGCAAGGCTATAGGAAATTTGGACATATTTTGTGAGATGGACGGCTATATAAATATGATGAATAAATGAAGTGTAAAGCATTGTTAAACTCTGGCTTCATTTGTATGTTTTCCACTGTTGGTTGAAAAAGGAAGATTTTTTTCCCCTTTTCAGCTTGTATCAAAAGTTAACAAATGGGCTAAGTTCACAAGCTGCACTGTATCACAAATACCGGGTTTATAGATTTTGCTTATAATACAACACACCAATCAAACCAAACCAATCACATTTATTGCTTCTTGTGGTATGTAATTTGGGTCCATGTGGATTTGTCAGCTGGCTTGTTAGGAAGTTAGCCATTGTGATCTATAAATCATGGATTGTACATAGTGTGTTGTTTGACCTCAGCCAGTAAGGATTAGATAAACAAGATTTAAACAAGCCATGGCTTGTCATGATCTGTGAACCAGGCAAACATTTGCCTTTGAAACTTCCAGGCCTTTTCTTAGAACTGTAAGGAAGCCAAGGAAATCCTGAAGCAAAATCCTTAATAGTAACCAATACATATTTTAATGTGGATCTTCCCCCGCAATTCTGGTGGCTTTTAAATTTGTGTAAGATGAAATATTTAAGTGACATGGCAGAGGGAATTTGAGTAACTATGCCTCAGACTTCTGAATTACTTTCTAGTGATTCTTAGGTTATTCAATAGGGAGTTAAGATAAAAAGGTCTTCCTTTCAAAGGGTTTTCCTTGAACTGTTGCAGTATTTTTTTAGTTATTATGTGCTCCGGAGTGAGAACTCTGAATTGATTGGTTTGGTGATCTATTTGTTTTCTTGGCTATCCATGATACTCTCAGGAATCTTCACCAACACCAGAGTTCAAAATTGTCAATACTCTTTCCATCCTGTTTATTCAAAGTCCAATTTTCATTTTCATAGACTGTCCCAGGAAAAACTATTGCCTGCATGATTCTGATATTTGTAGATATGGACACATCCCGGCATCTGAGTATCTTTTCCAAGGCCTTCACTGCTATTCTACTAAATGCTTGTCTATGCCGTATTTCTTGGTTCCTTTACTGTTGATAGTCAGTCTAAAAGGCAGAAGCTGTCCTCCACTTCAGCGTCGTAATATGGCAAGGAAGAATCTGGAATGAACAGAATAAGGAATTAGCTGGGAGTGACTTTTTTTTAACTACGAAAAGCAGATTAACTGTAATTGTTATATTATTCTAAATAAGCCACTTCAAGTTATTGTCTCAGGCTATTTTATAAGAACAGACAAGGATGATAATAGATTGGTCCGATATAATAAAAAAGCAATACTGTATGAAATATTATCTATATGAATTTTTCAATACAATAAAAGTAAGAAAAATTAAAAGAAAAAAAATGAAAAAAGAAACATAGAATTATTACTTCTGCCCTTCTTTTTATCAAGTAATTACCTTCTTACTCTTTCCCCTCCCTCTTTAGCCTTTTTTAATCCCCAAATCGATAAATCATCAGTTCACTATTTTCTTCTTTCAGCAAAAAGTCCATATAAGGCTTCCAGTTTTTTAAAAAATTCCTTATCGTTTTTTCTCTGACCAAACTGGTCAGCTTTGCCATTTCTGTGAGCTCTGTTGATTGTATAATCCAATCTTCTACTGTGGGTATTTCATTATTCTTCCATGTTTGTGCATACAATAATCTTGCTGCAGTTACCATATACAATATTGGTTTCCCTTATTTCTTTTCTAGTTCAGCATCCACAAAACCCTATAGAAATAATTCTGGTTTCATTGTAATATTAATCCACAGTATCTTTTGCATCATTGTATGAATTTGCACCCAAAATTTCTTTGCTTTTCACAAGTCCACTGTGCATGATAAAAAG